AACAATGCTCCGCGTCGCGGGACTTATTTTAACAGATGAGATACAAACATCGGATAAATCAGCTCAGTGCGATGTTTGTTTGATTTTGTCGGGTTTTGCTTAGACGCTAATCTGTTACTTTCACTTGGGCCGGTGAGATGCCTCGGTCATATTTTCGGGTGGATTGGCGCCGTTTAGATCTGGATCAAACGCCAGATGGAAAGATTTATCGCTGATGCGAACCCTTAATCGAAAACAGAACGTATTTACGTTATAAATTACGTGTTGACTGTTTTAATCAAGAAATACATTTTAATATACATCGTACACAGACTCAACGAAGTCAGCATACAGGGTGATTCACGGTCATGGTACGTTTATGGAGAGTTGATGATTTTTTTTTATATTTGGATTTTTGCATAAATGCGCTCGCACCATCTGTCTAAATTATTTTCCGCATTACAGTGCAACTACTTTCATATCTCATAATTTTTCTAGTATACTAACTTATACCAATCTCTAATAGTTTTCGAGATAAAAAATAGAATGTGTAAAATTAACAAAAACATGATCTTGAATAAGCATTGGTTAAATCATAAATTCGGCATATTGAAAGCTGAAATTTGGTTTAGAGGTTAAGGAAAGTCGACATATTCGATTTGTCTAAATGACCTATTGAATATCTAATAGGGATATAAAATTCTGTTTGTTTTAAAATCGTTGAAATCATCTAATATATATGTATATTATTAAAAAAATTGAAACACAAATAAAATTGTTTTTTAGCGATATATCATGTTCCTATACCTAAACGTTCTGGTTTCTTCAGCAGAGCCATTTAAAAGGTAATAAATATTCTGTTGTTTCGTTCAAAGAAAATCGTTACCATGACAAATATTTAAACTTTATAAGTATCAATTAGAGTTTACTTGCTAAATTTCTAGAATTGTCATGGTAACGAAATTTTGAGATGGGACTATAATAATAAAAATATTAATTTTTAAATAGCTCTGCTTAAAATACCGGAAGCTTTAGGTATAGGAACATGATATATCGTTAAAAAGCTGTTTTATTAGTCTTTTGATGATGATTTCATCTTTTAAAATGTTCAATTCAGTTAGTTATTAGAATATACTGAAGTCTTTAGTTTAAAATATTTTTCTTCTTTTATTTAATTTCGAAGCACACTTCCATAATCCACTAACTTCAGCAATTTTGTGGGTTATATATATATATATATATATATATATATATATATATATATATATATATATATATATATATATATATATATATATATATATATATATATATATATTGGCGCACAACGTGGGGCTTAGCGGCGAACCAAATACGCCCAAACAAGGTCGGTTTATGTTTATCTTGTTTAGTATAGAAATTCCTACGGCCTACTGCCACTTTTAGAATCTTACCGAAGATACGAAAATATAACAGAGTATTTTTTGACATAAGAAATTTGATTTTGATATTCATATGAGTTGTACTTGTATGGTGCGCCACCTACATGTTTTTGCACTGTTAAGAGTAATAACTTTTCACCCGTAACTGTATTAAACTATTGAGTGAAATATTTCCTAAATAACATTTCCGCTGTTTTCTACATAAAAAAGGTCTCTTGGTAAAAATCGCTACGAGCAACCGTTCTCAAGATATTTGGAATATATTGGATTTTGGATATTTGGAAAGTATCAATACATGTCATCACAAAAAATATGCATGTTGACTTTACTGAAATTATAAATTTAGGAACTTTTTATTTTTTTAAGTTATCATTATTTTTCTAGAAAAAAATATAAAAACAGTTTCTGTTAAGTCTTTGGCATAAAAAATCCAGATTTATTATTTTAGTCTAATAACTATCTAGGAAACATGTTTAAAATTTGTTAAAAATTACATCGTATTGATTATTTCGATTCCAAATATTTTGAGAACCATTACTATAGTCTGTGAAACGAATAACTTTGAATTTGACAGTTCACGCGGGCTTTTCTAGTGTTAATTTTATTAGGTTAGCAACTTGCGGCCATGCTGACGCAATGCCGTCTCTAATAGAACAGCCTCGGAGCGAGATTTATGACGTCATGCTAGTTAGATACTACGGATTAATAAATATGTTGTAGAATACATGGAAAACATAATTATTCCTCGTATTTTTGGTTTGGATTTTAAAAATAATATAGTTTACATGAAATATACATAATATACAGTTAATAAATGCAATATATATACCTATTTATAATAATAAATACTTTGGCAAATAAACTATGAACCATTCAAATGCAACAAATGTTTTACAATATACAAATAATGAATAGTGTAACGTTTTTAGGTCGTTACATGTCTTTGATTATGATATATGATGTCTGGCGTATCATCACAGGATTCCCTATCGTTCAGGTCGGATAATTTATTTGACGCGCTTGGCGTAATTTTTACGTTTTCTAGTCCACAACCCTGTTATTGTTTGACACAACCCTGTTATCTCTCTAGGGAGGCGCTGTCAACATCGCTCCAAGGTTAGGTCGCTCTCCGCGCTTAACCTCACTTTTGTTCACCCGGCTTTTAGAAATGGTAATAATTTAAATCTTGCTGCAAAATCTGAATCAGCTGCCATTTCGAAGCAACAGGTGAAGATGAGATATTATCTTTATTAGATTCGTTATTATTATTGAATATTTTTAGGGTAGAGTTTTGGATTGACCCACCTTAACTCGTTTTGTATTTTGCTGGCACATTGGTGCTCTTTTGCTTTTGTTCTCCAGAATGTTACATGGAAGAAAGGACAGTTTCTTTGTTTATTATTGAGCCCTCGGAAGTATTTCGAGGTAGGCTTATTTTGTTTATTAGACCTTGTTTGGTTTTAAACAAGAGTTTCGTATTTTTAGGGTCGTATGGACGGACTATTTACAAAGTACGGGCATTATCCAAGGTACGGGTAGTGTTCCCCTGTACCGTTATCTTATGGATGGACTGGGTCCAAGGTACGGGCATTATCCAAGGTCCTAGTAGTGTTCCAAGGTACGGGTAGTGTTCCAAGGTACGGGTAGTGTTCCCTTGTACCATTATCCTATGTACGGATGTCCTGTGGACGAGTGTCCCCAGTAGGAATGATTTTTTTGCATATAAAGTGCCCCAGCGTGGATGTAGCTTGAGCCCCATGCTGCTTTGTTTCCATCCATAAGCTAGTTAGTAGTTACGGCTGTTCCAATTCATGGTGTCCTCATTCTGGCCCCTTTTGTTGTATTGGATGGTCGAGTACAGAGATGCGAGACCACTTCACGCTGTTACTGTTTGAAGCAAGAACAGCTAAGTGTAGATTTAAGTTCTAGTTTTACATTTAACATCTAAAACATTTTCAGTGTTAAACAATAATGTACATCTTAAGTAATATCGTACAAACTATGTTTAGTGGTTAGATTGTTAAGAACATTCATGTCGATTTAATATTTAAAATATGATTCAGATCTTAGGTTTCATTTCATTACGTCTTTTAATGGCATTACTTTCATAGATATTTAGTACAACTCTTAACACCATTTTTTTTACATATTACCACTATATGTTTATTAGAATTCTACAATGTCATGTACCAGCAAAGAACATCATGAAATATAGTCATTAGTTTTAAGTAATATACAACTGTGTTTTCTTTCTCTGTACATGCCTGGCGCCCAATATTTATAATTTCGAGTTATTATTGTTAATTAGTTCTTTCCAGTGAAATACCTTATCCACGACTGCTCTACCAACGAAAAGCTGCCGTTCGCAGTGGTAATGTTTATAAAAAACGCTACAATAGGTACATAAGATAATGGGTAAAATGTAAAATATATTTTAAATTTTGGGGTTTGAAAATCGATCTAATTTAACAAAAAATATTCAATATCTACTAATAGTGATGTATTATTATTTGCATTCACAAAATTTATAGTATGTATATTTTGCAAGTATCAATTTTCGAAAAATTATGGTTGCAAATAATACAATATCATAAAAAAAGGGAAAAACGCTGATTAAGTTTTCATTTGGTTTTTCATTATTTCTTTTAGTTAAAAAAAAACGTTTCGGCTAACATTATAGCCTTCATCAGTGTTGTGTCATATGAAAAAAATAGTGTAGAATATAATCCAAAAAATTACATATAAAATATTCACAACCTAACCTAACACCACATAATGTTTACTGCAATTAATAAATAAATATAAACTTGTCAAAAGATGACCACATATTTGTATATTGTAAAACATTTCATAGTTTATTTGCCAAAGTAATTATTACTATAAATAGGCACTCAATTAAAGAATATCAGTAACTTTTTTGACAGAGGGATTTTATATTTGCCATGTTGGTGAAAAACAACGGTCAAAATTCAAAGTTATTCATTTTATAGACTATACCAGCCTTTTTTACTAAGATAATTTTTTTACAAAAAAATGGCGGAACTGTATATTTTTCACTCAGTAGTTTAATACAAGTACTAACGGAAAGTTATTATTCCTAAAAAAGGTTAAACAACATATTGCCATCGAAATCAAATTTATCATCTCCAAAACAACCCAGACCCAAATTTTCATTAAAATATCGATGTTAATTCAGAAATTATTTGGAAAATATCAAAATAAAAATGAAACTTCTACACCCTGTGTCTCCGAAACGAATCATTTAAGGCCATAAATTTATACGAACTTTTTTACTTATTTTTATCTACAAAATATGCTGCCGAAGTTTCAGGGTGGCCTTTTTCCGAGGCTTTTTCATAGGGCATTTCCGATTGATAATTTTCAAATTGTCTTTTAGATTGAACCTCTTAATGTATTGAAACCAGTTGGTGGTCTGTAGATACTGACCAATTATTAATCAAACATTTATTTGTTATGTTGTCATATTTTTTACTAATTTCGATAAATCCAAATTTTTAATTCCATATCAAAAATCTAAAAACCCTTGTGTTTGATAATAGTATTGAATTGTTTTTTAATTTCGCCTTTTTTCAATTTCAGAAAATAAAAGATACGAAAAAATTCTGGTTACAGCTACCTTACCAGTACTGTAGCAACGAGTCGATCTCCGCCGGACCGAGCGACAACGGCAACTGCTGGAACGGTACCACAGTGGGCACCTACGACCAATCCACGCCCAAATCGACCACCAGCGAAAATTCGCTCATCAGCGAACAAATCTTCGTCTTGAACGGCATCACGGAGAAACTGAGGAAAGCCTACCAAGGCATGGAAGTGGAGATAATCGACGACACGGAAGAATCCTTCGACGGAAGCGGTTCGGGTTCCGGGGACGGTGGCGACGACGAGGATAACGACCAAGAAGAGAACTACCCCGACACCAAAAAGAACAGTGACCTCAATTTCAACAGAGGAGAAGAGGGCTATCCTACGATTCCTCCTTCGAGCAGTACAGCTCCCCCGGAAGTCGTAAGGACATCTAGTGCTAATACTAATAATTCCATGTCGCTTGCCAGAGCGCTAGTCCAATACCTAGTGCCCTTGGTGATGGCGTGGTTCGGTGGTGCCATTAAAGACTTGCTGTGATATTTGTAAATGTTTGTAAATAAGAGGAACGAATTTTGTGTGGTATTAGAAAATAATTGACGGACCTATTAAAGGACATACGGATGTGACTGTTGAAAAAAATTCGGGTTGGCCGATATATATCCAACGTTGTGTCACAAAACATTCAAAACCAGCTGGTTATCTTATTTATTAAGACTATTATAACCCAGCTTATACAACAACATGATCTGGAAAAATTCTTCTATTCTATTAATTTAGAGGTCGTGGCTTATGACTGACAATTCCCAGTTTACTATGCATTTTAATTAGCATTGCATTTTTTAAAAGCTAACTGGTTATGAAATATTTCTTCTTCACTGCCATATCTTCTACTACTTCCATACAGGGTGGGTCAAATTTGACGCTTTTAAAGGGAAACGCCGTTTTCTATAGGAGATGACGAAAACTAATGTCGATGTCTGGAGCTCAATTTTTATCAAAAACATGATGGTGAAAACTGCACGTCGATATCTGTTACCGTTTATGAGTTACGGGGTGTTTTTCAAAAATGTGCATTTTTAACAAATTGCTGTAACTTTTTTGCTATGGAAAATTTTGTATTTTTATGGAAACATTTCCAAAGCACCGCATTTTTTAAAATTAATAATTTAAGAATTATCAACAGAAAATTTGATATTTTATATGGGACACCCTGTATATTTTTAATTCATTGAAAATAATTTAAAATTACCTTTCCAAAAATATAACATACTCGATTCCTCTTCGAAATATAGTTTTTAAAAACTCGCCCACTTTGAATAAGTAGGTTTTGAACCGCGTTGGCTGTAATGCAAAAAAATAATTGTAACTGTGAGCAGCAATTAAAACGAAAATAATTTACAATGAGAGATTTAGAATTTTATAACAATTTAAAATATATTTAACAACATCAACACATTTAAACTATATCTAATAAACTAATAATAAAAATTAATAGAAACCTAGACATGAGATTTTGCTACAGGTGTTCGACATGTTGACCGTTTCTGTTATGGACAGACGAGACCGTTTTTGAACATTTCTCGCGGAATTAATTAACTCAGTGGAGGTGAAAGATACCCTCGCATAACCGCTAAGTACTTCTAATTTTTGTCTAGATTATACAGGCAATTTAAAAGTAAGAACCTTTATTCTTTCGCAAAGATAAAAATCCATAGGCACTAAGCCAACGGCTGGGTTCTTGATTAGCTAAACAATTATTCTCGAAATTGGCTGCAAAAGTTAGCTGATAACTTCAACGTTCTGAGGCGGTGCCTCGTCTTGCTAGAAGTATGTTTTCGATTTCCGTTAGGGGCAGATCATCAATAATGCGTCCAAAACCTACTAGTTAAAAGTGGTGAACTTGAAAATTCTGTATTTCGAAGGGGATTATAACAAAATATCAAGTGTGCTATATTTTTGGAAAAGTAATTTTAAGTTCTTTTCGTTTAATTAAAAATATACAGGGCGTCCCAAATAAAAAATCAAAATAAAAAATCAATTTTTCTGTTGATAACTCTTAAATTATTAATTAAAAAAAAATATACTTACACCATTAAATTCTACGCAAAAAGGTGCTTTCATGGGCGCCGGACAGGGGGGGCAAGAGGGGGCATTTGCCCCCCCCTGGTTCACTGAAACAATAAAAATAAAAGCTATCTTCTTACATCCATCTGTAAAAAAAATAATCATTATTATGAAATTGTTAGGTGTTACCTGTAAAATAATAAAAAATGTAGTAATTGTTGGGAAAACTGGAAATCGTCCGATTTTCACCAAAATTGGTATACACACTATTTTGAGGTCGTAGATTACGAATCTATTTTTTTCTTGGCGGTCTCTTACCGTTTTTCAGAAAAACGGAAAATTATTTCAACATTGAATTTTTCTTTATTTCGGCCCTATAAAGTAATAATTTCACTATATTTTCATTATATTATAGTTATCTAAAAGCCACACTTGATTGGGGATAGAAAAGTGTCCAACATTTTACTGAAAAACACTTTTCTTAACAAAATAGCAAAGAAAATTGAGACCAGATGGAAGTTTGACATTTGATATATCCTTCTTTCTCTCTCCTATGTAATAAGAGAGACAAATATATTCTAGACCTAATCTAGAAATTTGAAAATTTACAACGTTGCCATATCTTCTATTTTTTCGGGTGATTAGGGATTTTAAATAAATTACCTATTATGAGATCGACAATAATTAAATATACACCTATATCCACAAAATTACGCGGAAGAGTTTTGATTGCATTGGTTTTAACTTCTTTGCGGAGGGGGTTAATCTTTTTTTAGTTAATCTAATAATATAACAACAAAAGATTAACACCCTCTGCATGGAAGTTGTAACCAATGCAATCAAAACTCTTTCGTGCAACTTCGTGGGTATAAATAGTCAGATCTCGTTGGTAAAATAGCAGTTATGGGAAGGAGCCGTTCTTCTGGCGACCGCCTTTCGTAATTCCAGAATGAGCGAAAAAAACACGCTAAATTTAGGTTTAGCATTGGCAACGTTGCTTTAAATGCCAGAAACACATAAACTTACTTCGGGTTTCTCTTATTACCGATTCTGAACCGTCCTAGAACTGTGATGCGTATGCGCAGAAGGAAATATGAAGACATTATTTCATTTGCGCATGCGCTGCAGAGTTCTTGGACGGTTCAGAATCGGTAATAACAAGAACCCGAACAAAGCTATAATCTAACATTTTCAGATTGTTTACAAATTTATTTTAGCAAATTTTCCTCTATTATGCATAGAATTGGTTAAAAAGTAACAGCAAATAGCAAAACATTATTGATTATTGAATACCTAACAAAATATGTGCTAGAAAACCTTAAAAATATGAGAAATTAAGAAAAAATCGATATTGAAATTATTTTCCGTTTTTCTGAAAAACGGTAAGAGACCGCCAAGAAAAAAGTTCAGATTCGTAATCTACGACTTCAAAATAGGGTGTATACCAATTTTGGTGAAAATCGGACTATTTCCAGTTTTCCCAATAATTACCAAAAATGTCAATTTTTTATTCATTTTTACCTTGCCCCCCCCTAAATTTCATTCTTCCGGCGCCCATGGGTGCTTTGGAAATGTTTTCATAAAAATAGAAAATTTAAAAGCCATAGCAAATAAGCAAATCCATAGCAAAAAAGTTACAACAATTTGTTAAAAATGCACATTTTTGAAAAACATCCGGTAACTCCGAAACGGTAACAGATATCGATGTGCGGTTTTCACCATCATGTTTTTGATGAAAATTAAGCTCCAGATACCGATATTAGTTTTCGTCTATCTCCTATAGAAAAGGGTGTTTCCCTTTAAAAGCGTCGAATTTGATCCACCCTGTACGTCATCAGTATTTCACAAGTACAAGAGACCTACAGTTTATCACCAGCTTCTACGTCCCACTAGTCACTCGCATTCCCAACAATGTTGCCGTTTGTTGTACCTTAATCTCACAGTTCTGCACGCGCGCGTTCTCACAGCATAAACGATAATCGGTCGGGTATTTCGCGTGCAATCTAAACAAAAAAACTTATCCCAGAGACTAACCAACTCAATTAAAACACTCCGTAAGCGTGTTAGGATTGCTATTACCGACAGACACGAACCTGGGACCTCTCGATCTCGAAGCGACGGTCTCACCCATGGATCCCCAGCTGCTCTTGCAAAATTGGCTATAAGCTAGGCGTTACTTTCCGCTGTTCTTAAAACCGTTCATAAAATAATACGACAGCAAACGGCAACATTGTTGGGTATCCGAGTTGACTAGTGGAACATAGAAGCTATTCAATTTATCGCCGAATACGAACGGCACTATTTAAAAGGCTGTAATAGTTACTCAAGATGGTTTGGCACTGCCTTCCTTTAGGTGGCGGCTCGCTTGCGCTCTTTTTAGATAAACATTTTTTTTTATTTAAATAAATATTTCTGAGGATCAAACCCAGTACCTAGTACTTTAACCAAAATTATTTCGTTAAACCTTAAATATTAAAATAGAATTGCTAACAATACTATCGCAATGAAAATATTGATGATATACTTATTAGCCAGACTCTACATTTAAAAAGAATATAAGTAGAGGGAGACATAGTGCTTGTGGGTATATGCAGATATACCAGCTGGTATTGAATAAGCTGTGATAAGGTAACATGATATTTACGAGAATTTGTATAAAACTTCCCTGATGTGATTCTGTAAACAATAAGGCTTATACACTAGCTACGGTATGGTTAATATGAATTTATTGATAGATATAAGGTAATAACATTTTCCTAAGTTAGACATTTCAAAATAGTATCTTTCTGGTAATATTTAGTGTTTCTTAGTCAAGAAATAGCTGTTAAATTATTTCCATATCACTTCTCAGTCTGCATAAATAAAAAATATCTCGAATTACCTATACAGTATGATAAGTTTTATCATCAAACCTACCTTTTTTTGTTGACATATAAATAAGAAATTACATTTGAATTATTCAAACTCAAAATCTGCTTGATCATATCTTTTAATTGTACTGTAGGTATATCATTGTACTGTATATCAGTGTACAGGTATATCATTGTACTGTAGGTATATCTGCTTGATCATATCTTTTAATTGTACTGTAGGTATATCATGTCACATTGTGAAAATATCGTCATAGTAGGCGTTGAAATAATATTTTAATTCTAAATTTGCTATACCTGGAGAACGTTGACCACAGTTACAGCTGATAGTTGTTATTTGATGTCTTCTTAAACCTTAAAAATACAATATAAAATTTCTAAATACTTTTTTTGTTTTATGTATTTAAATGTTTCATTTTGCTGATATACAAAGCCATCAAATGACGATCGCCAGAGTTTGCCTAAATTTTATCTCTAACAATAATTCCATTTATTATACTTTATGATATCTAATTTATATGCAACTTATTGTTTTATTTTAGGAAAATCACATAAACTTTGTTATGGATAAAATATAAATAATACTCAATTATAAATTCAGTTGACCATACAGCACAATGTGAACCAACTCTTTTTTAGATAAGTTATTTTTGACATTAACTTGATACAAGTTCATGATCAAACCAATCAATCATGTCATACAAATTCTGAACGAAATAAGCAGTAATCTAAAAGTTTTTTGCCTCGCTGGCTTGAATACAAAACTTTTCTGATTATGCAATCAATCAATGAATAAAGTTAAAAATGTAATTTATATACGTTTAGGATGTTTTATTCTTGATGGCGTAAATGTCATACCTAATGCGAATCTAAAATGTTGGTATATATCGGATGTAAATATTCAATCAAGGTATCCCAATATTTGATAAAAATACGATATTTACCAATCCCGATTTAACGTGATAAAACTTCAGTGTAGTAAAGTAAGAGTTAAAGTATGCAGAACCTGATTTTCGTTACAATTTTATATAGAATAAAAATTAGGTATTAAAACATGTCGATCAGGTGTACCAGATAATAGACATTCTATTAGGAAAATTGGGATAAGATGGCGAGGCTACAGTTTACTGTAATCCGTATTTAGTAATAACATAAAAGTGATAACTTTTTAAGTTATGAAAATAAATACTTATATACCGTATGATCAAAAAAAACGGCGTCAAAGACGGCTGGGGAATGACAGTGCATTTGGCGAGGTCAATCTCTAGACATTGTATACTAAAAATTATTGACATAAAATGTATGTTCTAAAATGCTTTGTTTTGGAGATACAGGGTGTAGAAGTTTCATTTCTATATTGTTTTTTTCAACCAAGTTTTCATTTTTATATTGTTTTTAACTGTTTTGAAGAGTAATAATTTTTCGTCCTTACCTGTATAAAACTACTGAGTGAAAAAATATACATTTCCGTATTTTTTTACATAAAAAATGACTCGGTGAAAATCGCTAGGAGCAACAGTGCTCAAGATATTTAAAATGGAAATAGTCAATACATGACATTATTGACAAAAGATGAACATGTTGAGTGGATAATTATTTCACTTAAATTATAAATTTGTGAACTTTTTATTTTTTTTTAATTAATCATAAATTTTTCTATCATAAAATTATGATAACACAGCTTCTGTTGAACTTTTAGTCGAAAAGTTATTACTTTTAAACCAGTTAAAAATATGTATGTGGTGCCCTCTACAAGTAGGAGTCGTATTGACATCAAAATCCCCCCCCCAAAATTTATCTTGTCAAAAAACTCCCAGACACCAATTTTCATCCAAATATCCGCGTTAGTTCAGAAATTATTTTGAAAAAATCGAAATAAAAATAAAACTTCCACACCCTGTATCGCCGAAACTAAGCACTTTAGGACATACATTTATACAAACTTTTTTATTTATTTGCCAAAGTCTCCAGAATACACTTCCGACCACCCTGTATAGAATTGTATTTAAAAATAAACTGCATTCAAAATATGACAGATTTAGTGGTGTTTTGTTCAAAGTTGTATTTGAATTAATGTTTACCTGTTACTATGGAGTGTAGAGATGAGAAGAAATATCTCTTATGGGACTTTATTTGAAAAGGTCTTTGAATAAGAAGACTAAGGAAGGAGCATAATGCTATCCGTGTATTCATGCATGGTGGGCGGAAAAAGGACTGGATGCTTGACAGTTCTGTTTGACGATTCATTTGACACATTTGAATTTGATTTGAAATTTTGTGGATTTGTCGGTCTTTACCATAGATAAAAGAAAATAATCTACTATTGTCTTTACGGAGCTTATTTTATGTTATTTATTATTTATTCTACTACTGATAGTTGTATAAAGGTAGTAAATCTAGATGGAAATTGTGGCAGAACTTAAATTAACAGTAACACTATCGCGATTTATCGACAAAGACTCAAATTCACAAAGTTGGTTGTGTAGCGTGCGGTAGATCTAGGCAAAAATCGAGTGAAATAATGGAACAACTTTTCGCTAGTAAGTGACTATATAATATACATCGTGTAGTAAACCGATCGTTTATGAAATTCACTTAAATTAACTAATTATATATTTTTTCTTGCATTTTTGCTTTTATTTACTACTTGTGAAAGATTAGATGTCAAAGAATTTAGATACGTCAATTTGACTTACCTGCTTCAGTAGCATGGCTTCAGTAGCGTATCGGATGTTTGTGTTAATAAATAATTATTAAAAATTATCTATTTTTATTATAATAATATATTTTTATAACAATTTTAATAACTACCAACATTTATTCACAACGTAAAATAAAAAATAAAATTATTGAGTCTACCCCACGTCTACCCTACATCATAGTTTAACCAGTGAGTTTAACATTTTTTAAATAAAATTAGAACGGCACTGATAAACCGGAATTTAAGTCGGCCATATTTGAGGCCCATCGCGGTGGACCTAAGATTTTTGATATGCTCCTTCTTTAATCTTCTTATTCAAAGGAAAAGGTGGTCACAAAAATGGGAAGAATAATCATTTGGTTCACCAAATGATCACAGTGGCGCTGATGACGCATAAATCTAAAAAATGAAAGTACATAACCAAACATTACCCAAAAAGCTTTGTTTTTTTTTAGAATATAAAACAATTATTTTTATACAGGGTTGTTCACCACATACGACACGGAGTATTGTAGCTAAACGGTTAGATTTTTACAAATTTTAATTTTTGGGTTCATTGAAGGATTATTATTAGAGCTACAATTTACAAATAATTTTACAAGATACAGAGTGTCCCAAATAAGTAAAAAACGCTATAGTTGTATTTTTTTAAATGGAACACCCTGTATATTATTCTATTTTTTGGTTTCTACGATTGAAATAAAGGTAAATTTTATTAAGGTTTATCACACTCAAACCTTGCCGTTTTTGAAATATTTTCAATTTTGTGAAATTGCAGTTAAAATTTTAAGGCTTCATTTCTCCAAGGGTATCAAAGTTTTTAATACTAAATATTTACTGAAGTTTATCTATTGATCAGTTAGTGTGTTGCAATAATAAAAATTATACTACCTTATACAGAGTGTCTAAAATTTTATTTTAACTAATTACTAGCTTTAAACGGCAATAACTTGTTTAATTTAAATGGAACGCCCTGTATATTTTAGGAGAATCAGATGCATTATTTAATTGTCTATCAAATTGTATTATACCAGTTTTTGCCAATCCCTTCAAGTTTTCGTAGAAAATGCATTTTCTTATAATTTAGACCTGATTTATCAATATACCTATGGAATATTGACATTTTAGATTGTTTTTAAAGCAACAAATGTACAAAATGTACAGGCTAGTAATATTATCGTTTTTAACAAAATGATAATATTACTAGCCCATTTGTATGCAAAAAGAAAACTAAATAGATAATAGTTTAAATAAATCTTCATAAAAGAGTATACCATTAATTAAATATACCACCATTATTTCCGCCCAAATACTAATTAATTACATACTTAATTATGTTCGTGAATAAATTATTCTAAATAAATGCGGATTTGAATCAGAAATCAATATAATAAGTTATAAAAACGAATGTCTCTGTTGTTACAAATAAGCATTTGTCAAAAAATGAAATATCATTTTTAAGGTGTTACTTTTTACCACACTGCCTTATTAATCAACGCAAACAGTCAATTAATGTAGTTTGAATACTGGAATCATATTAATTGGTCCTCTTTAACAAATATTTAAACAGTCTTTTTTTATTTTTTAATGAAATAAACAAACTATATCGACAATATTAGTATCTGTACTCTTTAAAAATTTGGTACATCTTTAAAAATAATCTAAAATGTCAGTATTCCATGGGTATATTGATAAATGAATTTAAAATTACAAGAAAATGCATTTTCTACGGAAACTTGAAGCTATAGGTAAAAAATGGTATAATACAATTTGATAGACAATTAAATTGTGCATCTGATTCTCATAAAATATACAGGGTGTTCTATTTAAATTAAACAAGTTATTGCCGTTTAAAGCTAGTAATTATTTAAAATAAATTTTTAGACACTCTGTATAAGGTAGTATAATTTTTATTATTGCAACACAATAACTCATCAATAAATAAACTTCAGTAAATATTTATTATTAAAAACTTTGATACCCTTGGAGAAATGAAGCCTTAAAATTTTGATTGCAATTTCACAAAATTGAAAATATGTCAAAAACGGTAAGGTTTAAGTGTAATAAATCTTTATCAAATTTACCTTTATTTTAATCGTAGAAACTAAAAATGTTATAATATACAGGGTGTTCCGTTTAAAAAAATACAACTTTGATATTTTTTATTTATTTGGGACACCTGTATCTTGAAAAAATATTTTTAAATTGTAGCTCTAATAGTCCTTCAACGAACCCAAAACTTACAATTTGTAAAAATCTAATCGTTTAGCTACAATACTCCGTGTCGTATGTGGTGAACAACCCTGTATATTAGAGGCCCAGTCTATTTTTATCTCTTTTGAATAATTTACTGTTCTAAAAATTTTCGGCGCATATTTTAAATTTTACGTTTTTGCTACAGCAGCGCCATCTTAAGTCTGCCCTTTTTTATGACCATTTTTAGTGCTCGAAGATATTCCTCCTTACCTCTACACGCAATACCTGTTACCTTTACGTATTAATGTATGCCTATATGTATGGATTCTTATTCCAGTTTTCCTTCATAATATAAAGTTAAGATTACTAAAACGTTACTTAAAAAATTGCTGTTAAAAATAGCGAAATTATGAATGTTTTATTTAATTAATATGCTTATGTAAATTAGTTGTACATATCGATTTTTTGGAATATACTTCAAACAGTTTATATTTAGTTTTTTAAAAAAAAATGGAATATAGCAGTTTTTAGGGATTAGGTAATGACAGCATTTTAAATAATTAAACATTGAATTAAAGGTACATAAATATATTGAACACTTTGTCCTGAAAAGTAATTGAATGTTTGAAGTATTTTCCATGTTTCATTGTTTTTTACCGTAAACTATGCATTGTATTAAATGTATACACTTAAGAATTAGTTTATATTTTTCCTTATATTATAATACTTCCATTATATATAATTTTTTAGTAATATAGGGTCCAAAGAGAATATTAAAATGAATTATAACACTTTGCATGCTTTAACCTTTACATAAATATGTATTTTGTGTATATGTTTTGTAAAACTACTTGAAATATTTATGATTAGATAATACCGCTTGAGAGAAAAAGGGAAATAATCAAAGATGGGTTTTTAAAAAACTATTTATTTATTTTGTACAAAATAATAAAATTTAGGAATTCATATTTTTTGTGTTTTAATTTTACCTCTTAAAATCGTATACTTGTCGCTTCAGTCGATATAATCACTTCTAGGCCTACTTTTTAAATATACATAAACAACTATAAACAGAAATATAACGGCTAGTGTAGGGAGTGCAATTGTGTAAATCTTCTTTTGCGCTTCTTGATATTCCTTTTTTAATTTTTGTTTTTCTTTTGATGTGACTTTTGCCTTTCCACCTTTCAATTGCTTAGGCATTTTAGATATCTAAAAGAAAAAAAAATCCTGCAAAAATAGTTTTCAAAACAATATTAATAGTTTATTATGTACAAAATCAAGAAACCTTTTAACACGTTATATTTAACAATATCCTTTCTTTCAAAATTATACACAAAAATATGAAAGTATCTACAGGGTGTTTCAAAACAGGGTGATTCTGCTTTGTTTCGTAGTTACAGGGGTTAAATTCTTGTTTTTTTTTCGATTTATTATTATTATCTTCAAAGTGCTTTTAGCAATTCAAATGAAATTTTGAGGGCGAAAGTTACTATAAGTGCGACATATTTTAATGCTAAAAAAGTGTCGATACTTAAACAGGGACGTGCATATGGGAAAAATATATTATTTTTCTAAAAAAAATTGTGCGCCACTGACTTTTTCATTTGTTAGCTCATTTGAGTAGGCCATTTAATGCTTATTAAATCAGTCTCATGATATTTTGTGGATTTTAGTCTCATTGATGAGATAAACACAATTTTATTAATATGCCTTAATCTAAAACTAATATAGCAACCTTTAAAAAATTATAGTGACATTAACTGACCAAAGTGTTAAAAAGTATCTTGAATCATTATTTTTTCTTGAATTTGAGGAATTTTCTTGAATATAGGTAGCACCCATGGGTAGCACCCTTATTTATTAAAAATATATATACAAGGTTAGCACTGAACATCAGTGTTAAAAGTTTTAATAATAAAGTTGATTAGATAAATAATTAACTAATTTAATTTTTATTTTAATTTTATTAATTGTGATTAATAAAAGAACTTAGCACTTAGAAGAAAATTATAATAAATCGAAAAAAAAATGAAGACTTTAACACTCTGTAGCTACGAAAGAAAGCAGAATAGAACCTCTATTGATATAAAAATAAAATAAATCTTATTTTTACGTGAGGAATCACCCCACGAGAGATGGCACGTTTTCTGAAACACCCTGTACAGGGTGGCGCCCCTCATACGATGCGGACCCTCCAAGGAGAACGGTAGTTTATATCGAAATGAAATGTTAGGAGCATATGTATGTTAACTGAAAGTATTTTATAAAAATACTAGTTGAACCCTGGCGCATCCGCCACGACATGAGGAAAAAATACTTTTTATTTTTTGTTTAATTAAATGAAAAACAAAAAATCCGGCGACGACAGTTTTTAGAAATTAGCTATCTTTTAGTAAAAAAGCAACTTTCTAGAGCAAGTCGTTACTTCAGTAGAGACGACACAGATAAACATTAGCATTTTATATACCGGGTGCGTCTCAAAAGTGGCTCACCCTGGTAACTTTTTTATTTTCAGTTAAAAAACGAGATTTGGTATGTTAGTATATGACATAAATTAGGATTGATTGACGTATCCAATTGTTTTTGGTGACTTCCTGATTCACAGGAAAGGACTACAACTTTTGATTTTTAAATGGCACCGTCGGTATTTTTTTGCTTTATTCGATAGAAAATAACACTCTGAATAGAATGACATATGATATGTCAACTTTTGACATTTTCACATATGGTTTATTTGAAATTATAACATGCGGTTCATAACGAAAATTTGACTCGAAATACCAAGTGTGTGGTATCAAATTATTCGTAAAAAAATGCTTTTTCCAAATATGCTAATGAGCCACCCTCGTTCCATTTGAAAAAATTGAGATATGATTAAAAATAAGATTTGAGCATTTTCTAACTGACCAAGACAAGACACTAAGAACTAAAAACATTAGACGATCAAATCTATTTTTCCAAGGCTCCTTGATTAAGAACTAGTCTTTTTAACATAGCCATGGCACTCTAGATCGAATTTTAAAATATGATTTTTTATTAAGCAAGAATGTTAAAACTTGATGTATATGTCATTCTATTTAGTATTCTATCTATAATAATTTTCTATTGAATAAAGTAAAAAATACCGAGGGTCTCATTTAAAAATCAAAAGTTGTAGTAATTTCCAGTGAAACAGGAAGTGACTGAAAGCAATTGAATATGTCAATCAATCCAAATTTATGTCATATTAGGGTTCCCAACTTGAGCATCGGCGATTCCGGGACAATTATTTTTAAGTTTTTAAATAATTGAAACAAAACATTAAATATTAGAAATTCAAATATATTATATGTAAATGTGATTTTTTTGGTCCCGGCCAAGGCAAAATTTTCGCCGGGACAAACTTTCTGATTCCTGGTTAATCCCGGTTAAACCGGGACGGTTGGGAACCCTATGTCATATACTAACGTACCAAATCTCGTTTTTTATCTGAAAAATTAAAAAAGTTATAGGGGTGAGCCACTTTTGAGACGCACCCGGTATGTAGATATGGAGTTATACAGGATGTCCCTATGTCTTGATTTTCGGATTCTAGGAAAAAAATAAAGGTGAGTTTTATTAAAGAATGCATATGCCTAAAACGTAAGGACCTTGACATATTTCACATTTTGTGAAAATGGAGGATAGATTTTAAATTTCAATAATAGCTGCCGATATTTTAATTTACCATGAGTAGCGAAGAAATAGCCTGATATTTAATTACTATAAGCATGGTATATTAAAACAAACTAAAATTTGACTCGAAAAGTTATACAAAGTGAGACAAAATTAATATGGATATGATATGGTTGGTTATGGCACAGTGTTCCATTTAAAATAAAGGAGTAACTTGCTTTGAAAAGTGACCAATATTCCATATTAATTTTGTCTCACTCTGTATAACTTTTCGGGTCAAATTTTAATTTGTTTTAACATACCATGCTTATTGTAATTAAGTATCAGGCTACCTAAATTAAAATATAGGCAGCTGTTTTATTGAAATTTAAAATTTACTCTTCATTTTCACAAAATGTGAAATAGGTATATCAAAAACCTTACATTTTAGTCATATACTTCCCTAATAAAACTAACCTTTATTTTTCTACTAGAATCCCAAAATCAGTTAATATATAGGGGTTCCACTACAAAAACACAACTTTGTAACTTTTTTGGGGGACACTATATAGAACTCTCTATATTTTTAAACTGCTCATTTCAATTCAGTACAAAGTGTTGTTCTCCTCAGAGCCTCTGCGTCGTATGAGAGGAGCCACCCTTATATTCAGCTTAGTAAATATTTTTTAGAATATGCAACTACAAATTTATAAATAATTAAACTACCAAAATACATCATGATGAAGAACTTGCAAATGCAATCTTATATAAATTGACTCAAGAGAAAAAGACATAATTCCTTAATTAAAAAATATATGAACTCCATCAAAAAATTTATACTGATACCTAATACTTAAACTTATCAAAAAATAAAGTATTTATTGTAATATCAATAAGTAACTGAAATTATTATTTAATATCACTTTAAATGATAGGCAGGTTATTAAATATAAGTATTTTATCTTTATAGCAAATATAAATACATTTCAAGACGATAACATTTAACTTTAATATTATATTATATAAGGGGCTCATGGAAAACAATAAAACAGAAACTATTATTAAATGAATCTCAAAATATTCTATTCTATTTGTAAATTCTATTTGAACATAATACTTACATAAAATATTTCTATAAATTAAACTATAATATGCATAACTAATATATCTGTGTATATATTTAGGCCCAACTGGATCTTGTACTATATATATAGGTATACTTTAAACAAAATTAATAATTTCTTAAGAACACTCCCATAATTGACAAAAGCCTACATCAATACTTAACAGAAAACATATTTAAATATATAAAAGCTATGTTCTTCTTTACTTACAGAAATATGTTGTTAGATACTGGATACTGCACTGTAAAGAAATACAAAATAAGCTAAAAATTGATTAATGTACTATTAATACGTGTCCAGCAGATATGTTATTTTTTATTTTAGCTTTTTAGGTTACCGTTTACTTTCCACTTTCCACATCATAACAACAGGTGGGATTTCGTCATTTCGTGGCACAAGCGTGGCACATATGAACTGCCTCCTGTAATTCGTTTTTCTTTATTTAATGATCTGGTCAATAAAATAATATGGATGTCTTTTTCTATTCAATGTAAAATTCGTATGCTTTCTCCTTTTGACTTTCATTTCAAAATTATTTCTTAACAGAAGACTGAAGAAGTGGTGGCGGGAGGAGGAGGAGAAAACAAAATCAGTGCAGCCAACACGCATTCTATACTATTTTGTGTTTCAAATTTTTCTACTACTTTTAAACATCTTTTAAACTACTTTTATCTTATCATGTGTATATCATATGTATCAGTAAAATTATTTTGATTATTGGAAAAAACTATCTGTATACAAAATTTGGTGCCGATTTTTTGCTAAAGCTACTAAAGACAATTAAAATTATCTGGGATAATCTATGGATAATCTACAACTAAAAATTTTTTTTAAGTAAAAAGATATTCATTAGCACTGGTAATCTGTGGTAATAGATATTATGGGATTTTGGTCCCATCCTTTAAAAAGGTCCCATGCACGGTTCGGAAAACTACATGTTACTTTTAGAAACTACATAAACTACATTACATGTAGTTAATGTAGTTTATGTAGAGGGTGTAGTTTATGTAACCTATGTATGTAACTTTCAAATGTCAAAGGTTTGAGGTGAGGTTATAATAAGTTGAAGCTTTAAAAACACATAATGTATTTAAGAAAACAGGAGAAATATGGCTTTAAATATAATATTTACATCATATTATCTCTATTACACTTCATACAAAGGAAAAGTATTCATAATATCAATACATAGTTTATTGTATGTAACTTGTAAAAGACGTAGTTTTTGAAGAAAAACTACACGTAGTTAATCAGGTAAATTACGTCCCATGCCCATCCAAGTCCCATCCCTACAATTGAGTGCTGACAAGTGACAAGAGACATTTATTTAAAATGTTTCTTGTTTTGACATTTATGTTGTATTTATGAAAATGAATATATTTTTGAATTTTTAAGGATATAAAGTACCTTTTGTACTAATTTATAAATGAAAAAGTTATTGTGTTGTATTTTCCATAGTAAAAAAAGAATTAACTTTTATAAAACAACTCGTAATGGAGGTACGTTGTCGATTATGTGCTGAACCGTACCATAATCAAATCGAAATTATTGAAGATAGTCGATTTTTGTCAATGGTAAATTATCTGTTTCAACTGCAAATTCATTTAGATGATAAAATGCCTTCCACTGTATGTCAGGAATGTTATCAAATTGTTGAGCGAACCTGGCAGTTTAAGGAACAAGTTGATAAATCCCAACTAATTTTGTCAGATTTAGTAGCAGTTGAGACTATTTCAAATAATATAATACCAAACCCACCGAATGATGTTGTTTTCGAAGAAGACTGCAAAACAAGTCAGTGTTTTGAACTTGTAGATAACCAATTAGTTGAAGAAACCGCTCCATTAGAATTTCAAAATCTTGAACAAACTGAACAGATTCAAATTGTACAAATTAAAAAAAATAGCAAGCCTTCAAAAAAGGTAAATGATAGTGTTAAAACAATATTTCATGTTTATTTTTTAATTGTAGTGTTAATAAATAAGTGCAGTCAAAACGACAAACGAACCCTAGAACATTATTAAAACACTATTAGATTGTTTTATACATTTATTTTATTTTAAGGGGAAACAGATAAATAAGAAATCTAAAGCAACAGAGTCTGGAAACTTGAAGGAAATAGAATATATTAATCCAGATGGTAGTGTAATTCCCAAATCTGGAATTTCTGGCTGGGATTCATATCAATGGAGCTGTTTTGACTGCAATAGTACATTTCAATTAACAGATGAATTAAGGGAACATTTTAATAATGTACATAATAGTAATATTAGATACCCTTGTATGGATTGCTCTAAGGTATTAGTCATGTATTATTCTAAATTTGATTAAATCTCTCAATGATTACAGGTCTACTCAAAATACACAACATTTATTAGCCATGTAAGATTTCATCGACCTCATTTAAAGTACTCGTGTGATATTTGTTACAAATGGTATGGAACAGCAAAGGAAGTTGACCAGCATCGTAGTTCACACTTTGAAGAGCGACCATATCATTGTAATACATGTGGAAAAAGATTTAGAATTCAATCAAATTTAACTTCACATACAAGGTCACATTTACCAGAAGAGCTAAAAAATGTCTATTATTGTGATTTATGTCCAAAAAAATTTGGTACTGCCTTTGTTTTTTTTTATTTTAAGATAAATTTGAATATATTAACTATTATATTTTTATAGTTTGGTTAATTATAGGTACTAAACCAAATCTAATGGCACATAAAAGAATACACTTAGGCATAAAGGACTATACATGTGATCACTGTGGGAAAAGTTTCGTTTTAAAAGGGAATTTGGATAATCATATATTGACTCATAATTCAGCTAGACCTTATAAATGCACAGTATGTGATAAGACTTTTAAAAGTTTGGTAAGTTTAATATATTTACATATTATTTTTTTTAATTTAAATATATTTTTTTACTAAAGTTCCTATGAAAAATTTTATAGAACAAACTTTAAAGTACCTATAATGAGAAATTGAAAAATATCAAATATTGCATTGTGTTGAAATTTTATTTGTGTTAAACATAAAATAAACAACAAAAATAAAGATTCTTTTATAGGTACTGAATATGTCGTATGGTCGAAAAAAGTCATTTAATTGGCTTTGAAATGACGATTATTGACATTTACCCATACATAAATGTAACAAGTTTAGGTTTAGATTGGAAAGTGCCCATAAGGACAATGTAAACACTATTTGGCGCTATTCTTGCAACCTTTGAATAAGAAAACTAAGGAAGGAGCATATCAAAAATCTTAGGTACACCGCGATGGGCCTCAAATATGGCCGACTTAAATTCCGGTTTATCAGTGTCATTCTAATTTTATTTAAAAAATGTAAAACTATGATGTAGGGTGGACGTGGGGTAGACTCAATAATTTGTTGTTTTATTTTACGTTGTGAATAAATGTTGGTAGTTATTAAAATTGTTATAAAAATATATAATTCTAATAAAAATAGATAAGTTATAATAAGTATTTATTAACACAAACATCCGATACGCTACTTAAACAGGTAAGTCAAATTAACGTATCTAAATTCTTTGACATTTAATCTTTGACAAGTAATAAATAAATGCTAAAATGCCAGAAAAATATATAATTTAGTTAATTTAAGTGAATTTCATAAATGATCGGTTTACTACACATATGTATATTATATAGTCACTTACTAGCGAAAAGTTGTTCCATTATTTCTCTCAATTTTTGCCGAGATCTACCGCACGCTACACAACCAACTATTTCAGAGTCTTTTTCGATAAATCGCGATAGTGTCACTGTTAGTTTAAGTTCTGCCACAATTTCCATCTAGATTTACTACCTTTATACAACTATCAGTACTAGAATAAATAATAAATAACATAAAATAAGCTCCGTAAAGATTGACAAATCCACAAAATTTCAAATCAAATTCAAATGTGTCAAATGAATCGTCAAACAGAACTGTCGAGGATCCCCACCCTAGAGTGCTTTTTCCGCCCACCATGCATGAATACATGGATACCATTATGCTCCTTCCTTACTCTTCTTATTCAAAGATTATTATTCAAAGATAATTATAGAAGGATTAAAAAAGGATAGAATAGTTTCCACCTATTTTCAAAAAATAGTTTTTCAGGAATTTTAAACTACACCATCTAAAAAATTAAGAATGGGTCAAGTAAATGACATCTAGGGCTAGACCTCGCCAAAATTATCATCAATTTTCATTCCGCAGCCGTCTTTTACGCCGTTTTTTTTTTCGATCGTATGGTATATTATATTTACTTTATCTGTAAAAACTTCAACAAATTCAATTGTAACATTTTATTTAAACCTGGGATGGAAAATATCTTGGTATTTATAAAAATTAAACGTTGGATGTACAGGGTGGGTCAAATTCGACGCTTTTAAATGGAAACACCCTTTTCTATGGGAGATAGACAAAAACTAATATCGGTGTCTGGAGCTCAATTTTTGTCAAAAACATGATGGTGAAAACCGCATATCGATATCTGTTACCGTTTCGGAGTTACGGGGTGTTTTTCAAAAATATGCATTTTTAACCAATCGCTGTAACTTTTGCTATGAAAATTTTGTATTTTTATGAAAACATTTCCAAAGCACCTTTTTACGTAGAATTTAATGGTTTAAGTATAATTTTTTTAAAATTAATAATTTAAAAATTATCAACAGAAAATTTTATTTTTTATATGGGACACCCTGTATATTTTTAATTAACTGAAAAGAATTTAAAATTACCTTTCCAAAAATATAGCACACTTGATATTTTGTTATAATCCCCTTCGAAATACAGAATTTTTTAAAGTTCGCCACTTTTAACTAGTAGCTAAGAATATTATAGTTTTAAGAAATCTCGTGTGGAAGCTTTAGTGATTTGTCACACGGTGGCGCTTTTGAACATAATCGAAGCCTGAAAATGCTAATATTTTAAATTTTGAGGACTACGCGCGGCGATATTTCGTACGGTGTTGCCAAAACATATTTTATTTCTCGATATTTAAAGAAATATGTATTGATTATATATTTCGTATTCGTTAGTACATGAGGCATCCTAAGGCTATAAAAACGTAGCTATGAAAATAAAATTTTAGATTTTTAATTTTTTTGTACCTTCTAATAAAAAATACTTCTATTCCAATAAAAAATTAACTAGTATGATTATGTGTTGTCTGTGCTAGTATTAGGAAACTGGAGTAAATACGGAGAATATTAATTCGTTCTCTAAGTAATTTTTTAAAATTCGATGTTCGGTGTAATTAGATAAAGGGGTGTAATTATACAAAAAAAAAATCTGTACCTACTAGGAGTATGAACTTTTGCACAGATGTGGCGCATTTGAACATTGATAAACGATTTTTGGAAATGTATAGCCTAAGGGTAGTGAAACTGGGGGGTGAAATTTTGTACAAAAAATGTTAGTTCTAGGAGTATGAAATTTTGTACAGAGTTTCCTTAAGTGACGAAAGTGAGTATCCAGAAGCTAATTTTTGACATTCATCCCTAGAAATAAGGGATGAAAATTTGTACAAAGTTTGTTACAATCGGTTTTAGAAGTATGAAATTCTGCACAGACGTTCCTTATGTAACGTAATTTAGCACTAAGTAGCACTTTTGGAAATTCGCCCTCTCAGGGTGTGAAATGAGGGGTGAACGTTCTGAAACAATTCTGTTGAAGGAATATGAAAATTTGCACAGAGGTTCCTTATATAGCGTAATTGAATAATTAGAGTGATTTTTGGAATTCATTCCTTAAGGGGTAAAACTAGGGGTGAAATTTTTGTATAATTTTTTATGTAAAATCCGTTCTAGGATTAGGAGTATGAAATTCTGTTCAGAGGTCCCTTAAATGATGAAAGTGAGTACCTAGAAGCGAATTTTAGGCATGCATGCCCTAAAAAATAAGGGATGAAAATTTGTACAAAAATTTGTTAAAATCGGTTTTAGAAGTATGAATTTTGCAGACGTTCCTTATGTAACGTAATTTAGCACTAAGAAGCAATTTTGGAAATTCGCCCTCTAAGGGTGTGAAATGAGGGTGAACGTTCTGAAACAATTCTCTTGAAGGAATATGAAAATTTGCACAGAGGTTCCTTATGTAGCGTAATTGAATAATTAGAGTGATTTTTGGAATTCATTCCTTAAGGGGGTAAAACTAGGGGTGAAAATTTGTATAATTTTTTATGTAAAATCCGTTCTAGGACTAGGAGTATGAAATTCTGTTCAGAAGTCCCTTAAATGATGAAAGTGAGTACCTAGAAGCGAATTTTAGGCATGCATCCCCTAAAAAATAAGGGATGAAAATTTGTAGAAAAATTTGTTAAAATCGGTTTTACAAGTATGAATTTTGCAGACGTTCCTTATGTAACGTAATTTAGCACTAAGAATTTTTGGAAATTCGCCCTCTAAGGGTGTGAAATGAGGGGTTGAACGTTCTGGAACAATAAATTCTGTTCAAGGAATATGAGAATTTGCACAGAGGTTTATTATGTAGCGTAATTGAATAATTAGAGCGATTTTTGGAATTCATTCCTTAAGGGGATAAAACTAAGGGTAAAAATTTGTATAATTTTTATGTAAAATCCATTCTAGGACTAGGAATATGCAATTTTGTACAGAGGTCCCTTAAGTGATGAAAGTGAGTACCCAGAGGAAAATTTTGGACATGCACCCCCAAAAAAATAAGCACTCCCTATAAAACAATTAAAATAAAAAAAAATTGTCTAAAAAATAAAAAAAATGTTGGGGTGGACCACTCTTATCACTTAGGGGTATAAAAAATAGATAACCTGGGAATAGGTTGTGACCAAACCAAACCAAACCAGACCTTTCGGAGATGGTAACAAAAAATTAAAAAAAAACAACCCCTATTAAAAAATTGGGGATGATGATGGAACGGTGAAAATTTAGGGTTATTTGTATTTTTTAATGCCAACTAAAAAATAAAAACATTTTTTTCTTTTCAAAAAATAAAAAATGAGGGTGGGCTACCCTCTCGGCTACCCTAACCACATAAGGGTATAAAAATAGATAACAACCTATTCTTAGACGTACTGAATATACATATAAAATTTCATCAAAATCGGTCAAGCCGTTTCGGAGATGGTAACAAAAAACTTAAAAAAACAACCCCTATTAAAAAATAGGGGATGATGGTAGAACGGTGAAAATTTAGGGTTGTTTGTATTTTTTAATGCCAAATAAAAAAAAATTAAAATATTTTTTTTCAAAAAATAAAAAAAATGGGGGTGGGCTACCCTTATCACTTAAGGGTATAAAAAATAGATAACAAACTATTTTCAGACCTACTCAATATACATAATAAAACGTCATCAAAATCGGAGTTTCGGAGATGGTAACAAAAAAACAACCCCTATTAGAAAATAGGGGATGATGGTAGAACGGTGAAAATTTAGAGTTGTTTGTATTTTTAAGGCCAAATAAAAAAAATATCTTTTTTTACAAAAATAAAAAAATGAGGGTGGGCTACCCCCTCGGCTACCCTTATCAGTTAAGGGTATAAAAATAGATAACAACCTATTCTTAGACGTACTGAATATACATATAAAATTTTATCAAAATCGGTTAAGCCGTTTCGGAGATAGTAACAAAAAATTTAAAAAACAACCCCTATTAAAAAATAGGGGATGAAGGTAGAACGGTGAAAATTTAGTGTTGTTTGTATTTTTTAATGCCAAATAAAAAAAATTAAATTTTTTTTTTTCAAAAAATAAAAAAAAATGGGGGTGGGCTACCCTTATCACTTAAGAGAATAAAAAATAGATAACAAACTATTTTCAGACCTACTCAATATACATAAAACGTCGTCAAAATCGGCAAAGCCGTTTCGGAGATGGTAACAAG